CTGGGGAAAAAAGAACAAGAAATTAGAGACAAGTTTAGATCAGCAAGATTTCACTTTATGAAACCTTAATAAAAAGAGGGCCAGGAAAAAAACAGCATTTCTGTCTAAAAGGTGAAAAGCTCTCGGTAGATAGCAGAAACAATCAGCCTCGTTCAGTGGCGAGGTTTTTCTTTAACTGTGCGATTCTAAATGAAAAACCTTTCGAAAGTGTACAACAGCACAGGTGTTAATGTCCTAAAGTGATTTGAAGGAAAGTTTAACAAAGCAGGTTTTATCTTTGAAGCTGTTTTCACAGAATCCATTCTGTATCCTTAGAAATTTGGCCTTTATGAGTGTGAGACGGTGCCAGCTGGATGAGTCACATCCTCCTCAACAATAAACCAACTGAGCATTAAGGCTCTCAGCACCTGGTTGAGTGGCCTCTTTACCTCAAGTCTCTTTTGACAGAATCTTCTATTTTAATCAAACCACAACAACTGTGATTTTTTTTTTAGCCCAATCTCCAACAATATTTTCCTCTGAGCTTCAATCAAACAAAAGCATCAACACAAACTGAACTGCAGCCATCTGAGAAGTTGGTAAAGCTTTAAGTCCAGGAGTTTGAGAATGTCAAACTAATACTTTAAATCAACAAGCAGCTGAATGGGGGGAATTACTGTAGATGTCCCCTCTGTTGAATGCAACGACCAAATTTCAGTCAGGTTCCTTTATTTAGCATTCAGAGCTCCAGAATCCGTGCTCCAAAGCCACAGAAAAAAGGGGATCAAGCACAAAGTGACTCCACATGATCCAAAGTGACGCCCAAAATCTTTGCCTTTAGCCTATATAAAATGAAAGCATGCTCACAAACCTGCATTTAAAGTTTAAAGTGATCTAATGAAGACAAAAATATCTGATCTTTTCCTCTCAACTGCTGTTGAGGTAAAGCTACAACATGCAATAAATGCAAAGTTTTACTGACAGAAATGTGAAATATTATACATAATAATGTTAGTTATCATCTATGAACTGCAAGTCTCAGCCTTTATTTTTGTGTTGCCTTAGAAAACGCTATTTATAATCACATAGGAGCGGATCTGATGTTGACAGAGGCAGCCATCTTTGCTCTACGGAAGCTCAGAGGTGACAAACTGGAGACCTTAGAGATCACCATCATGTTTAACTGTGATTGAACCAAGTTAGGCTTATATAAAATATATATCCTTCACAGACTAATAAAATACTATTTAGAGAATTATCTATTAGTGTCGCGTCAATGCCATTTTTTGGCCTCGATACTGATACCCGATACCTGGCTGTGCAGTATCGGCCGATAACGATACCACCTGTTTGAAATTGATGTGTGTGTATATATATGAAGAGCTGCAAACTACTTGGTTGTAAAATAATTGCCATCATATCTTTGTCAAGCTGCTGCCTACCTTGGTGAATCAGAAAAAAGATGAATAAAAAGTGAATCCAGTAGAACTTTTTATTGCCTACCTGGAATGGTTGACAATAGTCGAATAAACTTTTGGCTCTCAAAATGGTATGGTATGGTATGGTGCCCAATTTGTTGGTACTCGCCGATACCGATACCACCATTTTAGTGCTGGATCGGGGCCCTGTCCGATACTGATATCGGACAGATATCGGTATCGGTGCAACACTATTATCCATGTAAACAAACCTTCTTGTCATCACTTGGATGGATAGTGGTTCATTCCGCTGCAGTCTGAACACTAGATGTCGCTGAAAATTACACACTGTAGCTTTAAGCTCTATGGTTGTCCACTTCCAAAAGAAGATGAAACTGGGGTTGAGTTTGTGTTCAGCAGCGGCGTCCTCCAAGGACCAAAACAGCAGGATTTGCTCACAAACACCTTATGAGGGTCGACTAAATTTCAAATTCAGATCAAATTCCTGATCTGGAGGTGTTACTGAGAGGCTGATTGTCCCTCTTTATCCCCTGTATACTAAAATGAGCCTGAAACTTAGGCTGATCTAGAAAATTCTCGCACGACTGGAAATTGGCCTGAAAAGGACGAAAAATCGTAGCTTTAGGCCCTGAACACTTAGTGTCTCAGTTTGGCTCAGAGCTCTAGTTGGCATTCTTTAGTTGAGGCGTCCAGCAGAAACCTGATGACAGCTGACTTCTGGTGAGGACAGGAAGTACTTTACCTTGATGAGCTTTGGAACCACAGCCTAAATCAGATCATTTAAAATTTCACTCTTTGAACAAAAGGTGATGAGAAGCAGACGCCTGGGTTCTTAAGTGGTTCAGTCAGCAGAGGAACCCTGGCAAAGTTGACGTCATCTTTGACGATTAGAAGATGCTACATGAGTTTCAATATAACCGAGGCGAGCTGGAGCCTCGTGTCCAGAAACAGCAGCACAGGAACATTTGCAGGCGTCGCCAGACCCCATTTACTGGGGCACGTGCCCCAGTATAAATGAGCTGTGCCCCAGTATAAATCTCATGAATATTTGCAACAGTATTACATTTTTTTAATGTATCATTCCAACGGGAGGAGACGTATATTTCTACTCAAATGCGCAGCAAGTGTGTTGTTAACTCCAAATTGAGGATGTAATAGCGCCCCCACGTCAGCGCATGTCACTGCATGAACTGCAGGTAAACTAACACGCAACTCTCAACTGAGTTGGATGGGACATTGTGCGGCCGCAACGCATTTTTAGTTCTGGTAACGTTTTTTATCTGTCAATTTTATTATTTTCCCAGTGAAACCACATGATTTATAGGCTACTAACTGAAAATTACTGCATTGGTTTGTAGATGGATATCAGGAAATTCCTCACATGGAGCAGAGACAGGGAAGCAGTAAAACAAGATGAGAGAGAGGGAGGTGAGGTCCCGTAATGAATTAGTGATTTAAACTAACCAGTTACATTAGGAACGTTATAAGCAATATAATAGATATTTACATAATTATAAATTTACGTTTTTTAATGTTTGCTGTAGAGAATGAGAATGAAGGTGCTGGAGTAGGAAAGGGAGGAGGAGGCGAGACTGACAGGCAAGAGACAGGTGAGAGACAAGAGAGACAGGACCATGAAGGTGATGAGGGAGCAACAACCAGCTTCCACAAACAAGAAGGGGACATTAGTGACTTAGGGGGAAAGCATGATGGTCCTAAACAAGTGAAGTTGTCCCACTATCCCCAGGACAAATTTGGAGTAAAAAAACTTTCATTTAATTCAAAATTGTTTGAGCTTTTCCTGGTTAAAAAAGAAAGCTTTGTCATCAAGGATATGCAGTGTGTTTTCAACTTGCTTGATAACACCATGTTCCCAACACTAACGCAGGTCATCCAGATCTCCCTCACGATCACAATCATCAGCTGTAGTTGTGAAAGGTCATTCAGTGTGTTGAGAAGGATCCACACTTGGCCGAGGTGCACAATGGGACAAGACAGGCTCCATCATCTGGCTATTTTATCAGTTGAAAAGGAAGAACTTTCTAAGCTGAGTCACAGTCTACTGATTGACCTCTTTGCAAAAATGAAAAATAGGAGGTACACTTTAATGCTCAAAACATAAAAGAAAAACTTAGTTCAGGTTGAGTTAAACTTTCCCCTGAACTAAAACTCTAAGACTGAAACCTAGGAATTAATGATTACTTCAGAATGTGTATAAGGAAACTTTATTTGTCAAAGTTGGTGATGTCTTATTTTTTATAGCTGCAATGTTGAAAATGTTCATGTATGTTAAAACAAATATGCTCTTATACTCATTATTATCTCAACTGGTAATTTTGGTAGGAATGTATCAGGGTGGGGCAGTGTGCTTGTCTGTATTTGTGTATGGAAGGAGGGGCATGTGCGGTAGGGGGCCAGTGCCCCAGTAAAGCTTTGTGCCTAGCAACGCCCCTTGTAAAACACCCTCAATTCTGCCTGACCATCACACTCAAGCTCCAGGAGATTCTTGTCTAATTCAGGGCATGAATTGAGATGAGAAAGTCCCTTGAGCTGCCTAATCTATGTAACCTGACTCCGCCAGATGGATTTGCTCCGCATATCCATCTGGAAACCTTCCGTAGAAGTAATTTAGGGAAGAGGCGAAAATACTGGTTAGCTGATTGGCCTATGTTGGTGATAGACGGGCTAAATAAACCAATCAGATCAACGAAGCATATGACGTACTAACAGAGGGACAACGAAGAAGAGCCAATTGATAGATCAAACTCTTGCCGAAACCAGTCGGGAGAAGAGCAAAAACATCTTTTCCTCTGAGAAAAGCCTCCAGAGCAGTATTTTGCTCTTCTTTCGGTAATTCCGATAAAACTTGCTTGATAGCCACGCTAACGCTAGTTTCATCGGCTGAAGCTGCCATGTTCTTTAGACTGAAATGTGGCGCTTCTCGTTGCGTCACACCTCAACCCGCCTCAAAGCCAACGCTGATTGGACGTTCGTTTGGTGAACGGCTCCAAATCTTCTTTAACCGAGAGTCTCCAGACTGATTAGCGAGTGAAACCTTGAAAGCTCGCGAGATCAGGATGGTCTCACGAGGTTATAATCTATGGGCATCATTTTTCAGAGCCTCCTCCAATAACATAGTCTGGCTTCCAGAATGATAGCTGCCCCTGAGCACAACAACCGACACTGGCCAATCTGCTGTTAAGCATCTACTAGAGAACCTGATAATTCCACCAGAATACAGGTATTCTAAAAAGGTTTAATGTGAATGGTATAATAATGACAGGCAAAACAGACAGATAAATCTGATCAGGCCAAGATGGTTGAACTACACGGTACCAGGAGACATGGTTTAGTCATTTGAATCCACACATTGATTAATGTTTTTTTTACATGCATTTAAAAAAAAGTTTTGCACGTGCTGCCTGATTAATTGCATGTGCAAATCCCTTTGAGCTTTATTTAAATATTTCCTCTGCATGTTTTAAAATGTGCAAACCTTTGACGATCATACCTTAAATTAACATTTTCTATAAATTGCTGCTCAGGGTGGGGTTCTGGCTCTTTTTTGTGTGTTATATTTACCTATAGATGACTGTGGCAGGCTTGTTCCCGGGGTCATAGGTGACCCTAACGTGACCCTGATGGAGCTCCACAGCGATTGGCTCACGGTCCCCATTATAGAGCAAGATGCCGTTATCTTCTGCAGTCGAAACCTAAAAGAAACGAAGGAGACAGACCAAGGGGTGCGTGTGAGAGACCCCGCTATGCTTGATGGTTATAGTCGTGAGTCTCCACAAGCAGAATCCCTGCTTCTTCTTCTCACCTGCAATGTGATGTTAGACTGAGGCCAGTTTTTCACATCTTGAAGCTGGACATAAGAATCTCTGTCGACGAAGTTGACGCTAACCAATTTCTCGCAACTTTGGCCCTCAAAGCCGGGCAGACACTGACAGACCGCAGTTCCAAGTTTTTCGTCACAGGAGGCGCCGTTCTGACACTTGGCCAGCTGGCAGGGCGTCTGCTGAACATCTCTCTTCTCACAAAACTCACCACTGAGGAGTCAAGATATAACAGAAAGATAATTGTACCAGTAAGCAACAATTGTTCAAAAATAGAAAATAAGGCTGTCATGAAGAAGAGGGGAGATGTTTGAGAACCTCTCCCCATTAATAGGATAAAACAGCTTTATTGAAGATCTTCAAGTTAGATGAGCGTTCGATTGTACCACATTGGCTTTCTGTAGATGTCGGCAGGAATATCAGTTACATATGACACATGTAGTAATTCGGAAAAATGTTTTAAAAATGATTAGACTTAAAATAATAAAACAAGTGATTAACCCTTTAAAGCCCGATCCAAGAATAAAACAAAACAGAAAATTACTTTTTTTTTGGTTTGAAGTCCTTATTTGGCCTTTTAACAAAATATGTAAAAAGAAAAAACAGAAATAAATTTTTGATATTAATAATTTATTACTATGCGATAAGTCAAGATTATTTTTTGTGTAGTCTTCTACTGGCTGTTATCAGGTATATCTGATTGTGTACAATAGGATTTTGAGCAAAGTTTTTACCATTAAATTATGCAAAAGGTGTCAGACGCAAAACATTTCAGAAACCGTTTGTATCAAATATGATACATTTGGCATTATAGGGTTAAAATAAATGAACCTCTTTTTGTATTGGGATTCAAAGTTATCATAAACCATAGAAAACAAACTGGTTTTCCAAGAATTATTTTCTCCATCTCCAACAATGTTTTCTTCCGACAGTGGCGTCAGGTGGAGGAGTTTGCCCGGGAAGCGGATGGTTGTCGGTTCGTGCACCGGCTCTGGCTTTCAGTGTCATTGTGTCCTTGGGCAAGACACTTCACCTGCATTTCCTACACTGCAAAAACGATCTAGAAATAAGTAAAAATTTCTTAAATTAAGGGTATTCACCCTTAGGCCCCGTCCACACGAAGTTAAAACGAACACGAAACGCTGATATTTTCCAGAACGTTTGTCGTAAAGACGGAGACGTAAAATAAATGTGATCGTCCACACGAATGCATGAAAACGCTGCAAAATGTATGCCAGGCCTGTAAGTGGCGCTGTGGTGCGAAAGCAAAAATAGGCGAAAACAGGCAACGAAATGTTGGGCATGCGCACTAATATTTATACATGGTTGCCCTGTGGATCCATTTTCGTGGTTCAGTCAAATTCAGGTGCTGAACTATGTCGTCGATATTGCTCTGTTCTTCCTGGAGATATTCCAGAAGAAGAAGATTCTGTTCTAAGCCCGACAGCAGGGTGAGTAGCATGAGCAGCAACCATTCAACACAGTACGGCGCCATTGTTGTTGTGATAGTGTGTCGCGCATGCTTTTTTAGAGGCGACGCTATGACGCATGCGTGTAAGAAAAAAAATGCGGTTAGAGCTTAAAGATGGAAACGCGAAAACTGCGTTTCAAAATCTTCCCACTCTGAAGGCTTAATAAAAAAAAGATCGTTTACAGACCCCCGAAAGCCGGCTTCGTATGGATGAGAGGCTGGTTTGGTGAAAAATTTGTGCGTTTGGGCCAGGGTTTGGCTTCGTGTGGACGGGGCCTTAATTTGAGTAGGTAAATGAGTTTTCCAATGGAATGAGTAATTTTACTCTTAAAATAAGATAATTAGATAATATACACTTAAAATAAGACAATGCAATTGTGTTTTCTTATTTTAAGTGTAAATTCTCTTATTCCATTGGCAAACTGTCTCTTTTACTTCCTCAATTCAAGAAAAAATCAACGTATTTTAAGAAAAAATGACTTATCTAGATTTAGATTTTTTGCAGTGTAATGATGGTGGTCAGAGGGCCTGGTGGCTGCAATATAGGACAGCCTTGCTTCTGTGGCTATAATGAAGCTTACCATAATCAGTGGGTGAATGACTGAATGTAGTGTAAAGTGCGGTGGTCTCCTGACTGGAAATAGTGCCTTATAAGTTCAGACCATTTACAATTTCTTTATGAGAAATAAATAAATGTCTGAAGCTGCTCCCCTGAATCCACAGAATGTGCTGTTTGCTCACATGGATTGTGTGCTTGTCAGCGTATTCTTCTCACATCTACTGTCCACTAAATGTAACATCACAACACGTCAACCAGCCAGGCAAAGCGTTCTGACCATGGTTGAGGAAAACTGAATATTTACACTGGAAATAATCAAAATCTAGATAAGTAATTTTTTCTTAAACTAAGTGCATTTGTTCTTGGATTTAGGAGGTAAAAGAGACATTTTGCCAATGGAACAAGACAATTTAGATTTAAAATAAGAAAACACAATTGCATTTTTCTATTTTAAGTGTATATTATCTAATTATCTTATTTTAAGAGTAAAAATGCTGATTCCATTGGCAAACTATCTCATTTACCTACTCAAATTAAGCGTAAATACACTTAAATTAAGACATTTTTACTTATTTCTAGATTGTTTTTCCAGTGTAAGGAAGAATACATTTCACAAAACATGGGAGCCAATCTTGTGACTCTACACTGCAAAAAACATCTAGAATTAAGTAAAAGATGTCTTAAATTAAGTATATTTACCCTTAATTTGAGCAGCCAAATAAGACAATCTGCCAATGGAATAAGTATTTTTACTCCTAAAATAAGATAATTAGATAATATACACTTGAAATAAGAAAAAACAATAGTTTTTTCTTATTTTAAATGTAAATTGTCTTGTTTCATTGGCAAAGTGTCTCATTTACCTCCTCAATTCATGAAAAAAATGCACTTAATTTGAGCAAAAATAACTTAGTTAGATTTCCATTTTTTGCCGTGCAGATTCAAACCCCAACAGCATCATTTGCAATGCATGAAATACTGAAGCTAGTGGAATAAGAAGACACCTTTAGGAAAATCAAAGGTTGCAGGATTTGAATTTTGTGAGAACACCTTAAACCATAGCAGAACAAACCATTTTGGAGAGAAGAGATCATTTTGATCAACTCATTTACAGATAGCTGCTAAAATAAGACTTTGTGTGCAATCAATGTTCACCATTAAAGTAAGTAGATCCAATAGGTTTTTTTTTTTTTTTTTTTTGGGGGGGGTGAACATGGACTAAAATCTCCAAACTACATTTCTGACACCTTATTAAATCACTAGCAGTGAACATTTAAGTGGCTCTATTGTGCCACTTGTTTGGCTTTTAATCTTGAAAAAAAATCATATTTTTGCATCAAATACTTCATATTATTGTTTCTTTTGGTTATTTGCTCTTGTTGGAACAACCCTCAACCACTGTAAAAACAATCTAGAAATAGGTAAAGATAACTTAAATTAAGTCTATTTACCCTTAATTTGAGTAGGTAAGTAAGAGGATTTGCCAATGGAATGAGTATTTGAAATAAGATAATTGGATAAAATGCACTTGAAATAAGACAATGCAATAGTTTTTTCTTATTTTAAATGTAAATTGTCTTGTTCCATTGGCAACGTGTCTCACTTACCTCCTCAATCCAAGAAAAAAATGCACGTATTTTAAGAAAAAATGACTTATAAAGATTCACATTTTTTGCAGTGCAATAGTTTGCCTTATTTAACAGCCCCACCCACATCTCAGGCTCTGATATCTAAGATATCTAACGTGCCGTTAAGGAGCATTAATAATGAAAAACAACGTGTTTTTGATGTGAGGACTTAGGCGACAGTTTTCTCTTTTATAGGGCAAAGCAGAAAAGCTTCTTTCTCTGAGCTTTTGGCTTAAAATAGTGAATAAGTTGTTATTTCTGTGTGTGCTGGACAATTGCTTCGTGATAAAACCTTCTGACTACATTTCTATCAGAAACTGTATTCCACTTGAGGTCCAGATGCGTCCACTACAAGTTTCAGCGTCTTCTTGTGGTGTGGAAATTTCTCCGCTAACCTAAAATTGCACCGCTGAGGTGATGACAGGGGCCCCTTTAACCCAAACTTGCTGAGTTTGCCTTGCAGCTCGGTTGCACCAGTCTGACAATAGAGCTCCGTTGATTTCAAACATCAACTAGGGCCACCTCTTTGGGCCGCACTAGTTAGGTTAGAATACGGTTGTGCTTTCATTCCGAGACCCAAATGGGACCAAATTTAGATCGACCTAAATACAAAAATACAAAGTTCAATTTCTTATAGTTTTTTTTACTTTCATTTCTACTATTAAAATAGTGATAAAGAGCGTTTTTTTCTTCTTTTTGTGTTTCGTTTATGTTTCAAGTTGACAATATGAATAAATCTGAGCCCAGGAAAGCCAATAAAGGAACAAACTAAAAGGAGAAATGTGCATAAAATGATTCCTCTATGGAGTTCCTTCTAAAATAGTGTGAAAAAGAAAGGTCTTTAAATTACAGTGAAATATACTTTGATGCTCTGCCCATGCATACTTGGCAGGCGTTTTGAATTATGAGAAATTTGCTTTTTCTACATTTAACTATTTAAAAGACTCATACATAATATGAAAATAACCAAAAAAGGTTTCTTCAGAGCAGAATTTTGGATAGTCCATTTTCAGGAGTTCCCAGTTTACCCAGTACCTGAATCCCAGTGGGCAGACACAGCTATAGCCGTCCAGATGGTCAACACACTGAGCCGCGTTCTGACAGCGGTGATCCACGCACTCATTGTAGTCTATACTGCAGTCCGGTCCCACCCACCCAGGGATGCAAACACACCTGTAGCACAAAACAAACACTAGCATCATCATCATCATCATCATCATCATCATCTGACACTCTTCATCATTTTAGGGTCTCAAAATCAAAATCCAACACATTATAGTATATGTTCAATCTTTGATCTCAGTTTGGATCTGAGAGTTTGCCTATTCTGGCAGTGATGAAGGTGTGTGTGTGATGTGTGTGTGTGTGTGTGCTTTTACCTGGGGCCTGAAGGGCTGCTAACGCAGGTGGACTGATGCTGACAAGGATTTCTACCTGGAGAACAAACATCATCCTCCTCCTCGCAGAACAGACCTCAAAACAAGAGGAAAGAAACACGGCTTTCATAAAGCAATGAGCAGAGTTCCAGTTTTGCTAAATCCTGGATCATCTTTGTGTCTGACTGTTTATCCGACCGGGCTGAGCTGTACCTCTGAAGTTGGGAGGACACAGGCACGTATAGTTGCCGACTCCATCAACACATGTGGCCCCGTTGTCACATCCGTGATCCTCGCAGTCGTCCACGTTGACCTCGCAAAATGTGCCATGGAAGCCGAACGGGCATGCGCAGCTTAGAGGAAAAAAACAAAGAACAAGGTTTCAGTGCAAATATAAAATTAATAATAGTAGAAATATTAAAATAAAATTTGCTTCGCTAGAGATCGTTTCTACAAAAAAATTCAATTGGTTTAAAACTCTAAAATAAATGTGAAAACAAAACAGGAGAGATTGTACGTTACATGTTACAGAGACCTGCTACACATAGGCACATACTGCATTTATATATATATATACATATATATATATAAATATATATATGTTATGTCAGAGTCTTGGTCTGTTTGTTCCTGTTTTTCTTGGTTTTCCATTTGTTGTCCTCTGCTGCCCTCTTGTGTCCTCCCTTGCTCTGTTTTTCTGTTCTGCCTTCACCTGTTTTCAATTCCCTCATTAGCTCTCTCTTTGTCTCTGTCCCCTTTAAAAGCCCTCCCTCTTCAGTTCCTGTTTGCTGGATCCTCGTCTAACTTCTGTCTGTGTTCCTCGTCTCTCCCTGGCTCCTAGTTTTAGCTTAACCCTGATGTCTCCTTGGTTCAGGCGCGTTTGTTGTTTTCTGTTGGACTCTGATTCCTGCCCCTGGACCTGTGAACTTAAATAAACCGACTTTAATTCACCTCTGCCAACTGGTCTCTGCGTTTGGGTCCTCCAAACAAACACCGCCTCATGACATGTTATAATGTAATTCTTAAAAATGTATTCTATATATAAATTTTGAATCCTAATTCTAAATTTAAATCAATATCTATATGTTAAATATCAATCTTAAAACTCGATGTTGAAATAAAGTATATAGTGTTTATCATTAATCTAAATATCTGAGTGTAATGTGGAAACATTATATATATATATATATATATTTTTTTTTTTTTTAGTTTTTTACCATTGCCATTTAAGGGTATTTTTTCACCCTGAGGAGCCAAAACAGCCATATCATGTATATGCAGATTCATGCACAAAGTAGAAGCATATGTACTTTAATAGTCCACAAAGTAGTTAAAAATACTATAGATGGGAAATTAAGATATAAGACCAGTGAGCTCCTTGTTGAAGTTGAACCTATACCAACCGTTTTAAAGGGAAGCCACTGGAAGTTATTTTATTTTGCATATTTTAATCAGCAGGACAAATCAAAGTACTCTATATGAGGGAAAACTGATAAAGAGAAGAATATTGCAATGGGATAAAGGTAAAAGAAGTAAGTAAAAGTGAAAATTATTAATATTAGATAATTAGAATAAAAACAACATAGAAAATCCGCAATAACAAATGAAAGAAATATTTGACCTTAAACTTAATAATGTTAAGATCGCTCGGTCGAAGTCTATTATAAACAAACACTTTTTAATTTGGATTTAAAGCTATTTATGGTTTTAGAACTTTTACAGTTTTCTGGGAGCTTATTCTAGATAAACAGAGTATAAGATAAAAAGCTCTGTGGTTCAATGGTGACTCGATGCTGCCCAAGTGGTCCAATAAAAACATACGTTTGACAGCCCTGCTCCGCCTGCCGTATTGTGACCACAGCTTGGTAGAAAACATGTGATCAGTTCAAGAACAAATTCAGTTGAGAAAATGTGAACCAAATATTTTTCCACTGCCTCTTTGTTCCTTTATTGGCTACAGACTGATGGCCAAAAAACAAACAACAACACTGACGATAAAAGCGGAGAGAAAACAAAAAGCTTTATACTTTAATGGCTTTGTTGCTGTTGGTTACTGCTAACCAAAAACAACCAGCTTGCTACCTGAAGCCTCCTGTCTGCTCGTCTCTTAGGCAGGTTCCTCCATTGGTGCAGGGGTTGCTGACACAAGCATCGACCGGGGTCTCACAATGTTTACCCTGAACACCCAGAACACAAACACATGCATAAGTATCAGATGTGTGTAGTAACAAAGTACAAATACTTCGTTACTGTATTTAAGTAAACTTTTTAAGTATCTATACTTTACTCCATTACTTATTTTTCTTCCTACTTCTGACTTCTACTCATTCAATTTTTTACACAAGTATCTGTATGTTAGAATAATTGTATATAAATGTATCTGTGTAGTGTTATCATGCATAAAGCTGTGTGCTATAGATAGATTTGCTTTTGGAGAGGTTGTGGTTGATCTACGAGCAGCACTCAACCTGCTGAACTTTGGTGAACAGCTTCAACAGGTTAAACTTTGACTGAACCCTGAGATTTAGAGGACATGTTTACTGAGACTGCAAGTCTGAGTACCTTGTCTTCCCTCCCCTCCGTGTAGTCTCAGCTGGGACCACTGATTCCAATAAAAAGCGATGGAGAACGCTGGGAATGCAGAGTGGGTTGAGATTTGTAAACTCTGCAGTCTCTTCCAACTCTCCTCGCGAGTAAACTAAATTAGTTGTCTCTGTGCCTTCTTTCTTTCCCTGCATGTTTGTATGATGTTTTAGGTGCTTAGACCTGACAATGTACAGGTGCTGGTCATAAAATTAGAATATCATGAAAAAGTAGATTGATTTCAGTAATTCCATTTAAAAAGTGAAACTTGTATATTATATTCATACATTACATACAAACTCATATATTTCAGATGTTTATTTTGTTTAATTTTGATGATTACAAATGACAACAAATGAAAATCTCAAATTCATCATATCAGAAAATTAGAATATTACTGAAGACCAATAAAAACAAAGGATTTATAGAAATGTTGGCCAACTGAAAAGTATGAACATGAAAAGTATGAGCATGTACAGCACTCAGTATTTAGTTGGGCCTCCTTTGGCCTGTATTACTGCAGCAATGCGGCGTGGCATGGAGTCGATCAGTCTGTGGCACTGCTCAGGTGTTATGATAGCCCAGGTTGCTCTAATAGTGGCTTTTAGCTCTTCTGAATTGTTGGGTCTGGTGTATTGCATCTTCTTCTTCACAATACCCCATAGATTTTCTATGGGGTTAAGGTCAGGAGAGTTTGCTGGCCAATTAAGAACAGGGATACCATGGTCCTTCAACCAGGTACTGGTAGCTTTGGCACTGTGTGCAGGTGCCAAGTCCTGTTGGAAAATGAAATCTGCATCTCCAAAAAGTTGGTCAGCTGCAGGAAGCATGAAGTGCTCTAAAACTTCCTGGTATGTGGCTGCGTTGACCCTGGACCTCAGAAAACACAATGGACCAACACCAGCAGATGACATGGCACCCCAAACCATCACTGACTGTGGAAACTTTACACTGGACTTCAAGCAACGTGGATGAAGTGCCTCTCTTCTTTTCCTCCAGACTCTGGGACCTTGATTTCCAAAGGAAATGCAAAATTTACTTTCATCAGAGAACATGACTTTGGACCACTCACCAGCAGTCCAGTCCTGTTTCTCTTTAGCCCAGGCAAGACGCTTCTGACGCTGTCTGTGGTTCAAGAGTGGCTTGACACAAGGAATGCGACAGCAGAAACCCATGTCTTTCATACGTCTGTGTGTGGTGGTTCTTGAAGCACTCACTCCAGCTGCAGTCCACTCTTTGTGAATCTCCCCCACATTTTTGAAGGGGTTTTGTTTCACAATCCTCTCCAGGGTGCGGTTATCTCTCTTGCTTGTACACTTTTTTCGACCACATCTTTTCCTTCCCTTCGCCTCTCTATTAATGTGCTTGGACACTGAGCTCTGTGAACAGCCAGCCTCTTTAGCGATGACCTTTTGTGTCTTGCCCTCCTTGTGCAAGGTGTCGATGGTCGTCTTTTGGACAACTGTCAAGTCAGCAGTCTTCCCCATGATTGTGTAGCCTATAGAACTAGACTGAAAGACCATTTAAAGGCTTTTGCAGGTGGTTTGAGTTAATTAGCTGATTAGAGTGTGGCACCAGGGGCCATCAATTTTGAACCTTTTCACAATATTCTAATTTTCTGATATGATGAATTTGAGATTTTCATTTGTTGTCATTTGTAATCATCAAAATTAAACAAAATAAACATCTGAAATATATGAGTTTGTATGTAATCTATGAATATAATATACAAGTTTCACTTTTTAAATGGAATTACTGAAATCAATCTACTTTTTCATGATATTCTAATTTTATGACCAGCACCTGTACTTCCTATTCTTTACATTTTTAAAACAAACTTTACTGGTTACTCTTGGCTTCGGTTTAATATGTAAAAATATTTATTTAATGACATGTGCTTCATCCAATGCAGAGAATTGGTCCCACCCTCATCTAGTGAAAACTAGTGTCATTGGATGAGTCATAGAACGCAAACACTCATTGGTTAGTTAAAGGAAATCATCGGAAGCTAGCAGGTGTTCTTCAACCAGCAAATGTGAATTGTCTATGCTATGCTACAATGATGGATTCAGAAAAAGATGTTGAAATGTCTGAAAGGTCGGACACAGGCGAGAGCGTATTGGGAGATGGAGACCAACAAGACCTCCCTCATCCTTGGACCTTTCTCCAAGAATTTTTTGAAGTAGTCGAAAAGTTGAGCTTTCAATTCATATAGTGGGATCTGGCTGTTCTTTTTTTTTAATGTTACTTTATACTAGGGATGCACGATATAATCGGCCCCCTATCGGTATCGGCCTTAAAACTTAATATCGGACATCGGCCACCCCACCGATATTTAACCCGATATTTGATCAGCTTCTGAGTTTCTAAAGTCTACAAAAAAAAAAAAAAAACTACTTCTTCTTCCTCAAAAACTTCTTTTTTACAGACTTAAAAACTTCTAAAGACGAGGGAAAAAATATTGATACATTAAAATATCACAATATCTTCATATGCTGATATATTGCCATTTAAAAACACCATATCAATCTCTTTTACTAATGAAATATTGCTATATGTCATCGTTATGCTACGAAATCCCCCGAAAATCCACAAAATTTTGCCATATTTTTATATGTTGATATATTGACGCGGTATCAATCTATTTTACTAACAAAATCTCACAAGAATTTGCAAAATATCACGAGAGTTTGTAACAGAACGATGAAATTTCACGAGATTTTGAAAGTAAAATAGATCGATACCGCGTTTTTAAAAATCAATTTGATATCAGCATATGAAAATATATTTGAGTATATTATTTTTCAAAGTGTCAGAAATGGATAACAAAACTGCTATTTTCAATGGCTACTTATTTTTGTCCAGCTTTAACATCAGTATCAATATCGGTTATCGGCTACATGAGTTTTAAAATATTGGCATATCAGATATCGGCCAAAATCCCAATATCGTGCATCCCTACTTTATACTTTAATACTTTAATTAGTTTTTGGAGTTTTACTTGAGTAAAGAGGTGAAAATGATACTTCAACTTTTACCAGAGTGTTTTTAAACTGCAGTATACTTCTGCTTAAGCAACAAATATGTGTACTTCTGACACCACCATAAGTATGCACAAACATCATTATTATGACATCATCATTATTACAGGCAGAAATCAGCTGAGATCAATCTGGAACACAGATGAAGAGAAATGGACAGGAGGTTTATTAGATCTTTTCCTCCCGCTCCCGCCATTACGCCTGGGTTCGTACCGTGAAGCCCGACCTGCAGCTGCAGGTGTACTGTTGGGTTTGGTGGATGTGGCAGGTTCCCTGGTTCTGGCAAGGCGAGGACACGCATGGGCTGCATTTGGCCTGAACAGACACGTCCACTGGACCTGCTTTCACACAAACACACTCAGCTCACCAGCAGAGCACTTTCAAAACACTAAAGTGATTTTAAGAGAGAAAAATGAGAATAACTCCAAACATAATTGTTATGCATTAAAACATTCAGACGTAGCATTGTTTAGTTAATCAAACTTTCTCTTATTTTTTTTATATGCAAATCATGCTGAAATGGTTATTTTAGTGCAACCTGAACCCTGTAATTTGGATCCTTGTTCTCTTCCCTCTGGTATATAATTTAGGTTTATAAAGGCCTTTTTTCATTCCCCCCTATTTACATAAATTGCTCTCCTCCCCCTCGTCACCATTTGTGTTTCCAGGGTTTGGCTCAGTGGCGACCCTCGCTTGAGGAGGGGCTGGAACTGACAGACGGCGCAATCATTTCATAGGCCTGCGTCACGCGGATCTGAGGAATACGTCAGTCACTGATCGAAGAGACTGGCAGGCCTGAAACGTAAGCTAATGGGGGAGAAGAAGAATATAAATGCTTCCTGTGAGGTGAGGTGGACAGAAGAGTGGCAGATCCTTTGAAACGCAGAGCGATGGGGGGGGGGGGGGGGGGGGGGGTTGGATGACAACATGAATCTGAGGATGGTTTTAAAGCTCCGATCTTTTTTTACAAGAATTAAAACAATCCAACAAGCTCCAAATGCCCCAAGCTCTCTAAAGAAATTAATCACCATGTGATAATTAGGCAATCAGGAATGTTAATAATTGCTTTGTTGTTTGAAATAATTTGACAGATGAAATTGTTTGTTTGAAATGTTTTGACTGTGAATAATAGGAGGTAAAAACATTTTCAGCTGTTTGAAGCTCATAAGAATTTATTACTACTGGCTATTAAAATGAACAGTGAAGACGACTGGGATGTACAAAACTAAAAAAGGCTAAATTATTGAAGAAAGAGTAAATGACTCGATGCTCCCTCTTTTCTACTGCCACCTTTAGGGGGCGCCACTGCAAATAAACAGGTTTAATATATGGAGTGACTTTTGTTCCACTATGATTGAAATTGGATTTGAAAAATGCAACAAAATGAAAGCAGTCTAGAATTTATTTAAAACGGTGCTGCTTTCTCAGATTTTGTTCTTTCAATTTTCACTTCTTATTTTTTTTGTATTTTACTTTTCTCAAATGTTATTCAAAAAGTAATTTTGTATTTTCAAAATGTTGCTTTTTGTTAAATTTTTATTTTACTTTTACAGATTATATAGTATAATTTTTTCACATTTCTGTTTTTTAAGTAGATTTTCTGTCTTGATGTTGTCACTGATGACTGCTTAATTGATGTCTAACTCTTTCAGTTTTCCCATTATTGCTCATCTTATCCACCTGCTCCTGTCTCTATTTAAACTGCCTGCAACCAGTCATCAGGGCCAAATTATTTCTCTCCAGCCTGTGGTGAGAGTGTCTTTAGCCTACCTTAATGCTTCTGATTACCTGATCCTATTCTGCCTCTCAGCCTTGGAGCATCACTGTTTTAGCTCTCATCTGTTTGCCTGACCAGGCTTCTGACTCCTGCTTGTTCTGCAGGGCTTCAATGTCCGGGTGACACCCGTTGCATTTTCTTGGCAGCTTACCAGCTGGATCCTACCTTGTTCTCTGGGCATGGACTGAATTATTAAACCAGGTTAGTGACTCACCTGTGTTTCTCTCCTGCAGAGTTAGCCTCCTTAGCCACTGCTACTTCAGATTTGCAGATCGGGTTTTAAATAAACACTTTTTGAGTATTCCCACTGTCTCTTTTGCCTTGAATACTAGGTCCTCTGTTCTGAGTTGTGACATTTTTTTTAAAATGTATTCTTTTCTTTCATTTTCTTATGTTTTAAGGATTATATTCTTTCATTTCTGAGGGTAGGCTTTTCAGGAGTGAGGAGTCAACACACATTTTCATTGGTCAAGAGTGAGAGTTTATATTGGGCTGGAAATGAAGGGAATGCAATCTGTGAGACACAATTTGAAAAACTGAAATTTGAAAAAAACTTCACTTAATCCAAAAAGTGTGAACAAATTACTGTAGCAGTGGCTTCTCTGGATTGGCTGCCTTAATCTTGTCAGATTTTAAAAGTCGTCTATTGATTTTTTCCCCCCGTTTTGAATGGTTTATCCTACAGTGGCCGGGAGGTGCAAACCAACATTACAAAATCTAAAAAACTTTTACAAGTTCTAAAACAAATTATCATTTCAGAAAACAAATTTACATTTTAAAAACACTTTTATAAGTTCCAGCAAATTTACAAATTTACATTTAAAAATAAAAAATAAAAATAAACAAAACCCTTTTAAAAATTCAAAACAAATAGCATTTTAAGAAAACAAATAAAAGAACATCTGAAACTCCCAAAACAAATGATCATTTGAGGAATTCAACCCTGTTTCCACACGACACAGGAAGAACAGAAACAGAATTTCGCACAAGACCGGTTCAGCCTTGGAGTTAGTGCCTACTGCCTACTCCGGTTGAATTCCTCAAATGATAATTTGTTTAGGAGCTTGTAAAAGTTTTTTAGATTTTGTAATGATGGTTTGCACCTCCCAGCCACCGTATTATCCCCTGCAAACCTCAAACATCTTCTGCAGGGCTTCTTCATTTCCATAACACTACAACCAAACTTCAAGTTCCCAGCACCACATTTAAGCGAGATTTAAGGAGGCTGTTACTGCACCACATTTATGGAACACTTCACCCATCAATAGAAAATCTGCCAAAAATTTTGATCATTTTAAATCACTCCTGAAAGTTTATGCATTTTATTAAACAATTTTTCCTATTTGTTCTTTTCCTTTTGTTTTATCTTTACATATTTTATTCAAATGTGCTTCAAATTAATGGTTTTATGAAAACTGTTAAGCATTTTAGTGCAGTTACAAGCTGTCTTTGAAGTGCTTTATAAATATAATTGACATCGCCAAATTTAGATTAATTCATTAAGTTAATAACTTGCATCCCTACTTAGTAATAATGAGAAGAAATATTCATAATTAATTATCAGCAGATTTAACCTTTGCAGTCAGAAACATACAAACGCAGACCATCTCTGTAACAATTTTTCCATCTCGATCTAAAAATAGTTCAAAAAATATATTTCTAGATGCACAAATTGAGATATATATAATTTCCAAACAGTGATAACACTTTCAGTGAAACAAGCACAGGACCACCACAGCGTATGCTATCTTGTTGTGTATAATAACAGCAGGCGATAAGTTCTTTACAACCCTTGAACTAAAGCTGAATATCAGTTTATGTGCTGCATGGTTTGAGGCCATGAGGCTGAACCATATGCATTAAACTATGTGGGATGAACAAATAGATGCATATATGTAGCACAATGTTGAATAAATGAGTCACGGCCTCCTATAGAAAACACTACGTTCAGTAAACATAGTTTGTTATTTATAGTTCCGCATAACGTATTTAAAGCTAGTTAAAAGAACTGGTTTAGTTAGTGGAACCTAAACACATTGCGTTTGGATTTAAAGGACTATAAAGCAGATCCCAGTGCAGCATAACCTCCACCTGCAGCAAAGTCTGATTTCGTATGTGTGCGCTGGCCGTTTCTGTACATTTCTGTAGATTAGATCCGTCTGCACTGCATTGCCTGCAGCTGTGAGTGTGTGGGAGTAACAGCCACCAACTCCTTTAGTGTGCCATACCAGCTGAAAAGATTTCATTAAAGACTGCCCATTAGGAAGCTTTAGCATTTAGATGAATGTATGCTTCGAATTTAAACGACTGGTAAGCCCAGCTAAATCTGCTGTTCTCTAATTTCCTCAATAAAAACAACATTAGGCTATATGCATGTTTTTTAATAATATGTCCAGTTATGTTGATTAGAAAACAGATGAACAGAGGCAGAGGGAGAGCAATGCATGCTATAAAACCCTCAACCAGTCCGTTCTGTTTCATGTGCCGTCTTTACAGACAGAAGGACTCTGTCTCCACTCACCCAGACACTGAAACTTGTCAGCTGGTGTGGTGAGCAGCAGCTTGCCCTCCATGCCCCGGGGGCCGGCGCAGCGGGCGATGCCGGGCTCCTTATAGCCGCTCTTCACCCAGTCTGACAGCCAGAGCAGCCGGCAGTCGCAGTACAGAGGGTTGGCTCCGATGGCTCTGAAGGAAAGAAACGAGAAGGAGCTGAGATACAGAGCAAGATGTAAAAAAAAGGGAAGAGATCAATCAGGAAGTCGGTGATTCTCAGGGCCAGCTGTGGAAGCCCTTCCTTCAAACACACATAGAGACACATCCAGGCATTTACAGTGAGACGATTTAACTGGTTGAACAAGAAGGGAAAGCAGAGAAATGCAGCAGCAGACAGAGCTAAAGTAGAAAGCCTCTCTCTTCAGGGAAAATATTAACTTATCAGAGACGAAAAGGCGTCTCCAAACCTCGCTGTAGGAGAACCACGGGGCCTTGGCCTCCTGGTGTCATGGCAACTGCTTCTTAAGGATTAATACAAGTAAAAATTCTCTGTTCCTACCATCACAAAGGTAAACACATTAGGGATGCTGTGTGGATGGATGAGATCAGTAATCTTTGCCAAATAACTCTCCGAAAGGATCACCTTTCAAAGACATCAAGGATACAGACACCTCATGTCCAACGTCTGAAGTTATGAAGAATTGGTTGCCTTTTTATCTTCCCTGACAACTAAAATATCAGGATCAGGACTTTAGGTAAGATATTGTGTTTGTTAAAGTTTCTTTAGAGCAGTTTAAACCAGAGTGGTTTAAAACATGCAGCCATATGAACTGGTTCATCACAGTCCTTAGTTCCACAGATGGATGTTTTAAATAAAACGGGTCATTTTTCCTTCTTTGGCCAAATCTGGCTTGATTTGTTGTCATTTGGGTTTATGAAGCTGACTCCCTCTGAGTCTGACTCGGTTACCATGGCGACTGGCCCAGTTAACTTACCCTGGTCCAGACCAGGTTTAGAGCCCATAAAGTTCAGACTGTGTGCCTTTGTTAAATCTGGGATCAGAAGGAGCCGTCAGTGAATCCATCAAAAATGGAAACTTATTCTACGCTACATTTTTACTAAATGTATTTCATGCCCCAAAAGTTGAGACATGTTTATTTACAAGTTTATTTTTACTTTAGCAAATATCTATTCCTACACAATGAAGGAAATTATACATACACAAAATATCTGAACGTTTTCTCTTTTTTTTGCTGTGTAAAAATAATAGCTGTGGTGGTGGAGGGGTGGGAGGTGTGGCGTTACAAAGCCTCCTGCTTGGATCAAAACGACCCCTTCATCTTCCCTGACACGTCTGCAGGAACGTTACCGATTTCCAGGGAAGGTTAATTAACTTAACCACCTGAAATGGACCTCAGCAGCTCTCCCACAGACCAGATCCAATCAGACCCTAACTGTTCACCTGACACTTTGTGGAGACCTGTGCATTTATGACAGGAGTTTAAAGTCGGGCTTCCTCCACATTAATTTTTTTTGCTTGTGCAGTTTTTGCATCTGCAGTTTAATTTCTATAAATATATAAACGTAGTTATTTGCAAATGAACATCTGGCCCAGATTGCAGGTGCCTGAATGTTTTTGTTGCCTTACTTTTTATTGCCAATAAAGAGAGTGTGATCAATCAAACCCATTTTGGATCAGATTATTATTCCTCCTTTTCACCTGATGAATAAGCCACTGCTGGTGTCACTGAAAGACTTAGATGTCAGAGAAATTGTTAATTTCTTGGATTGCAATATTTTGTAATTTCTTAGTCCAAGCAAGAGTCTTGCTAAAAAAAATGTTATTCTTCATTAAAAGCTGTTTGGGACGAAAACTGTGACTATGATCTCCAGACTTAAAGAGACGTTTGTACGTTTTTTACTGAAAAAATGTCTTTAAAATATCCTTTTTGTCAGAGTCTTGGTTTGTTAGTTCCTGTTTTTCTTGGTTTTCCATTTGTTGTCCTCTGCTGCCCTCTTGTGTCCTCTTTCCCTTGCTCTGTTTTCTGTTCTGCCTTCACCTGTTTTCAATTTCCTCGTTAGCTCTCTCTTTGTCTCTGTCCCCTTTAAAAGCCCTCCCTCTTCAGTTCCTGTTTGCTGGATCCACGTCTAACTTCTGTCTGTGTTCCTCGTCTCTCCCTGGCTCCTAGTTTTGGTTTACCCCTGATGTCTCCTTGGTTCTGGTACGTTTGTTATTTTCTGTTGGATTTTGATTCCTGCCCCTGTTCCTGTGAACCTCAATAAACCCACTTTAATTCACCTCTGCCAACTGGTCTCTGCATTTGGGTCCTCCAACAAACACCGCCTCATGACACTTTTTATTTGACCCTTTAAAGCTAAAACATCATTTGATGAACAGAATAACACCTGAGTAGCTCAGCGCCGATGCATCAAAAAGCCTGTAGCCCGTTTTAGCTGAATGTGCTTTGTTGCGAAGTTCCTGCGCTGTTTCCGTAAATGTGATGTCATATCTATTCCTGTTTAAAAAAAAAAACTACAGGACCTCAAACTGGCCAAAACTGGACATGGGCCCTCGATCCGTGGTTATGATAAAAAACAGAAACTATTTAATAAATAGTGTGTGCTCTATAGAGGGAATTTTGCTGTATTATTGTCTCAGGCAAAGATCCATTTTATAAATGAAAGTTTGAAAAAAAAAAATCAAATTTTTGGAAATTTAGAAATGAAACTGTGAAACGCCTCAATTATAATGTTTTGAGAAAAACTGCTGTTTTATTAGTTTTTTATTTTTTTGTCACATTTTTTAAAAATAACTTTTAATATATCCTATTAAAAGAAAATAACCCAAACTTTGTTTGTTTTTTGTTTTTCAAATTAAATGTTCATATTGTTTTTTTTCTATAATTTTTTAGTTAGTTTTACAGGGATATATGCATTTTCAGATTATATCTTTCACATTTGCTTTTTTTAAATTTTTTTTTACAGATTATATATTTTTGATGTTCTTTTTTTTAACATTTCTCTTTAACAAATAGGGTCTTTTGAATTGCATTTCTAGTCAAATAGTATTTTCCAGATCACCTCTCTTCACTTCTGAGGGTGGGCTTTCTCTCTGGCATGAGGAGCAAAGACGCATTTCTATTGGTCGGTTTGATGTTAGGAGCAACATTTTATTGGTCAAGACTAAGAATTTACGTTTCACTTAAAGTGAAACATAAATTTACTTATAGTGAAGAGAATGGGATGTGTTGAATACAATTTGTAAAACAAGTGAAAAAAATAAATAAACAGAAAATATAAAAATGAATCTATAAAAATGAAAAAATATTATTAAAATAAATGCTATATATGTGTGTGTGTGTGTGTGTGTGTGTGTAACTAAAAAAAACATGGAAGTAGAAAAGTTACTCTCAAAACTCTTTTTTTAAATTAAAAGATTTTTAAAGTTGCTGAATAGCTTTTTTTCAAATCTCCATTTACAAAACATTTTCTTTGCTTGCAATGAAAGTGGAACCAAATTCCCTTCCTAGTGCTAATATTAGTGCAAAAAAATGTGCATCAAAGTGGCCATCAGAAAACCTTTGAAGTTATACCGTTTGTGCAATGAAGACCGGCCAAAGATCTCCATTTCTCTACACTCCAACCCTGTGAAATGATGTTTTTTACACTACGATGTATTTAACATGTGTAGTACTTACAGGTGAGACAGAGAGGCCAGGTCACCGAAGATTCCCTCCTGCAGCTCAGAGATGTCGTTGCCATGGAGAGAACTGTGAGACAGAAACGGTTAGAGGCCAGAAACGGTTTAGAACATTCAAAGTGAACCCTCGCTGAGCTCAGGGACTATTACAGCCGCAGAGGCTCAGTCAGCTTAAAGGAAGGAACAAATGATAGCTTGGAATAAAGTAAAGGGACTGCATACTAATGGAGTGTGTGTGTGTGTGTGTGCTCACAGCAGTCTCAGGGAGCGCAAGCCGGCCAGCGCCAGAGGAGGGATACACTGTAATGAGTTGTAACTGAGGATCCTGCGAAAACAAAGCAAATTTAAGGATAAACAAAACAATTAAACAGCCAATATCCGGGTCTCAATGTAGGAATTCTGCACTGAACAACTGGATTAAGTTTCAAGCTTTCTTTCCTCATTTCTATCTGAATCGAGTCCAGCTAACTCCAAAAACTCTGAGATAGCTCAGAAGAGTTTAAAGATGCAACAAGTCTTTCATTTTTCATTTCATTCAGTTAATTTCCATGTGACTGAAGGGGCCACTTTATCTGCTTAAGTATAAAAAAACCATAAGAATGTCCAGAAGGAGACTGGTACATTTCACCTTGTTGTAAAAAAAAGAAATGCTTATCAACTCCAAAACAAAAGCCGTTCCTTATTTCAATGAAACTTAGATCTTAATAAACATTGTAAAGTTTTATTTTCTGGTTTGAATTTTTTCAAACTTCATTTTATAAAACCTGCTTTTAGCTTTTAAAAATAATGGGAAACAATTCACTACATACTGGGAAGGCAAGCGGAAGGAATGCAGCAGTTCTTTTAGGACAAGAGACCCCAAGTTAAAGCAAAGTATTTGGGCAGAAAGAAGCTAGAAAACCTTTGATTATCCAGTTTAAAATCAGATCTAACAAATACTAAGGAGAGGTGTGTAAACTTTAGAACTTAAAGTTATAGTGGAGGATGTTCTTTACCGGGTGGATCATCAAAATAAGTGGTCCTCCCAATTGTCAATCATTCTGGTTATATATGTTTAAATAAGGCCGTTCTACGTGTTCGTCCCCATTTTCACTTACCTGTGTTGAGTCTGACATAGTGGAAAAATTGCTAATCTTCTTTGGGAAAGTGAGCTTGTATGAGTGATGCAAACAGCAACTTTTAAACAGAGCGTGCACGAGGAGAAATTGGGCTTGTGCACGCTCTCACACGCATTTATTAGGCGTTCCCTCTTGGTAGCGGGTTGTGCACCTGCATTTTTTTTTCTTTTTGGAGAGGGCGGGTCTTTTCTAAACTCTGCGAAAATCCTCCACTATACCTTTAAAGAAAACTGAAACACTTTTAAAGCTGCAGGTTAAACTTTGAGACCCATGATAATCCTTCAGATTCTACCTTCAGCACCTATTTTCTGATTCTACTTTGGACTAAAATGTCATCAGTCGTCAATCTCCTTTAAGTTACTGTTATAAAATAATAAAACTAATTGAAAATTTGTGTGCATACTCACAGGGTGGTGAGTTGGCTCATATTGGCGAAGGAGTCATTGGACAGGGAGCTAATTTTATTGTTGCTCAGGTCTCTGCAGGGGTAAAGGTCAGGAGGAATCAAAACACATTAATGCTTTATGCTTGTCTCACAAAAACATGCAGGAACAACAAATCCAAACAACAACATAACAAGTTACACAATGTTTAATTTGTTATGCTTTTTTTCCCCCCTCTGGAATCATAGGCTGACTTTCAGTTCAAAAATACCTCCTTGATCCCGAAGAGAAATTAAATAAAACATTTTTGAAAGCTCCAGATTTCTGACTTTTTCTCTGTTAAATTCACATGAGGGATTCTGCATAATGTTTTTGACTCCTTTCTCTTAATCCAGACCTCAGCCAACAGCTCCATCTACTGGCCGTTTGTAGAAGTGTGGAAGGCTGTCCACATCCTCTATCAAACATCACCGTTAAACCACTGATCTCCAGTTTAAACCTATAACTGTCTGCTTCCATGTGAAGGCATATTCATCCTTTACATGCTTAAAGGCTAAAATTATGATCAAAATGTAAAAAAGTGAGTAAAATGTCATGGTAAAATGGTGGTAAAAAAAAAGAGCAGATTTTCACTCTTTGCCACCCTAAAAGCAGCATAAATGTATAGCTAATTTTTTCATCATTCTGCTTCATTCTATCTCTATTCTCCCACTCTACAGAATCTGTTAGTTCAAACTCTAACGTTCTGCTCTCTCTGCCTTTTTTCATAGTAGCTTAATCTGGTCTGTTCCTGTTTGGCTGTTGCTCCATCCTGGAGAGAAACATCAGCTGTGCTGCTGCCATCAACACCTTAGATTAAAGATGCTGGAGATCTGCCTGTTTTTCAGTGTAGTCCTGTTTCTCTGACTGTGACGGGCTGGATGTGCTCTCTTCATCCTCTGACATGTGAGCTGGCTAGGAGCTCGTCTGCCTGGCTGTGTGTTTCCTGGATGGGGCGTCCTTTTACAGCTGCTTTTTGTATCTCTGCTTCTGTCTCCTTGAACCCCAGTCGGCCTCAGCAGATGGCCGCTCACACTGAGCCTGGTTCTGGTGGAGGTTTCTTCCTGTTAAAAGGGAGTTTTTCCTCTCCACTGTCGTTACAAGCATGCATAGTGTGAGGGATTGCATTCGAGTCAATGAGTCGATGCAATCACCTGGTTTTCCTTAGACAGAACATTTTTAAATCAATTTGACTGGATGATCTGGTGAACTGTAAAGTGCTTCGAGATGACGTGTTGTGAATTGGCGCTATAGAAATAAAGTGAATTGATTTGAATAGCGTAAAATATAATTCTGCATTATCATTGGTACAGTAGATGTGGAACTTGTTAAGCGTTTCTTACACAAGCTGCAGGTACTTGAAGGTGGCTAACTCCTTAGGAACACTGGTGAACTGGTTTCCATCCAGGTATCTAACAAGAGAAAGCAGAGAAACACATAAAAACCTGCTCACATGGATATGCTGAACAGAGAAATGATGACGGCAACGATTAAATTTGTTCAATCATTGACTCTAAGCATGAATGAAAAATTAATTTCTTAAAATAAGTATTTGCCCTCGATATGAAGCTGTTAAATAAGATTATCTGCCAATAGAATCAGTTTTATTGGGCTTATTAATTAGATGTTGTGCACTTGAAATAATATCATGTAGTTTATTTCTTATTCTAAATGTATTCAAATGTTCCTACTCACCTGCTTAAAACAAAGGCAAAATGACTACTTATATTTCATTTTTGAAGTGTGCATGTCCCGTTTGTTTGTTTGCTGTTTTTGTTCAACACTGGAAAAACTGATCATTAGGTAGGTGAAATGAATGCTTAAAATAAGTGTATTTGTCCTTAATTTTAACAGGAAAAAAGATTTTTGGACCAGATTAGATTACAGAAACCTAAAATTGGTAAATTTACTTTTTCATCGGCTTAAAACAAGGGAATATATATTTATCTTAAGAGAAATTGACCCTGATTTTGTAGCAGTGTGCATTTCCTTTTCTTGTTTTTGTTCAACACTGTAAAATCTGATCGATAAGTTGGTAAAAAATTTATAAAATTATTGTATTTGCCCTTAATTTGAAAAGGTTTAAAAGATAATTGGCCAATAGAATGAATATGTTTGCCTTAAGATGAGATAATTAGATAAAATGCTCTTGAAGTAAGAAAATTATTCTTATTTTAAACAAAAATCTTGTTATATCATTAGTAAATTGGCCTAACCAGGAGTTTAAAACTAGCAAGGCAAGTTTTTTTTTATTTATACAGCCCAATTTAGTACAAAGACAACTCAGAGTGTTTTGCCTGAATTAAACAGTAACATTCAAGATACCTAAAAGCAGTTTAAAAGAAAATCTAGATAAAATATGATAACAAATAAAAAAAGAAATTCCACTGGAAGGAGAGTTTTTGCCATTAAAATACAGCAATTAGATAATAATAATTTAAATGTGGTTGTTAAATGAATAAAACAAGCAAGAATGAACTTATCTCAAGAGAAATTGACCCACTTCTATTTTATTTTTGTAGTGTAAAGCCTGAATGCTTTCACTCACAGCTCTGTGATGTTGCGAGGAAGTCCTCTGGGCAGAGCCTGCAGGTGTTTGTTGCTGCAGCGAACGACCGTGTCCATGCAGGAGCACTGACTGGGACACTGCGGCCCTGCAACGCAGCGCCGGTCATCCAGCCCTGAACCTGCGCGCACGGACCAGAAGGCATAAGTACACTTTGGGGGCTCTTTGATTGCACATTATTGTTATTATTATTCCTCTGCATATTCCAGACTTGGGGAATCGTACCATCCTCGCAGCGGAAATCAGGCACAGCGACATCCTGCAGAGGAATCCCTCGAAGAAAAGAGGGGCTCTGACACCGAGGATTCCCCGTAACGATCCGACGACTTCTGAGCCACGCCCCGAACCAGGACAGGTGGCAATCACAGTTGAAAGGATTGGCCAGGAGGTTTCTGATGCACAACAGAGGAACTATCAGGGATTCATATCAAGATCAAAACCCTGCTCTGGATAACATGCCTGGCTCACTAACAGAGTGGACAGGTTGGGCAGCGTGTCAAAGGCCCCAGGCAGGATGGTAGTGAGCTGGTTGTCGTAGAGGGAGAGCAGCCGGACGTTGGACAGCCCTGTGAAGCTGCTGTTATGGATGCAGCTAATCCTGTTGTTCCTCAGCATCCTACACAAACAGAAAAATACAAATAACATGAACACCTTTGTTCACATTATTTCTAACACAGTTACATTGTTTTCTGTAATGGGTATACATTTTTATGTAGCACATCTTAGCAATGTCACAATCTTGATTTTGTTATGTTTCTTTTGAGTATGCACTTTTACTTTGCTAGTTTTTCTAGTTTTAGTTGTTTAATTCTTATTTTGTTGTGTTTTCTGGTTATCTTCAGTTTCCAGGTTTTTATTTGTTGCCCTCTGCTGCCCTCTTGTGTTCTCCTTTTTCCCTGGCTCCTTTCCTGTTCTGCTCTGTTCACACCTGCTCCCAATCTGCTCGTTAGTCCTCTCTTTGTTTCAGTCTCCCATAGATACTCTCTCTGTGCAGCTCTTCAGTGCTGGTTCCTCGTCAAACTTCTTCCAACTCTGTCTCTCTGAGTCTTCCTCCTCGTGATTGTTTTCCCCCAGATGTCTCCTTGGTTTCTGATTTGTTTGACTTTGTTTTCATTTTTGGATTTTTGGATTCCTGCCTCAGTTGTTTGAAGACACTTCATTAAATCTACAAGAAACTCCCCCGCCTCCCTTGCTCTGCATTTCGGTCCACAAACCACAATCAAATCCTGACAAGCAAGAAAATTTAAAGTGATGGACATAAAGGTAATTGGGTAATTATGAGTTGGACAACAAACTTAACTAATAATTTTTAGATCTAACAGTCAAAGAACACACTGTAAAATATTTTTTCAATCTCGATTTAAAGCAACTGAGGGTTTCAATTCTTTTACAGATTTCTGGGAGTTTATTCTAGATTAGTGGAGCATTAGAACTAAAAGCTAATTCTCCATATTTGGTTCTGGTTTTGCAGAGTAGATGAGATCCAGTAGATCTCAGACAACAATCAGCAGTGTAATTTGGAGCAAAGCTATTCAGTGATTAATAGACTAACAGAAGTATTTTTAACGTCTATTCTCTGAGATACAGGGAGCCAGCGAAGGACTGTAGAACTGGACTGATGTTCTCCACTTTAGTTCTAGTGAGGACGCAAGCAGCAGCATTCTGGATCAGCTGCAGGGATCAATTTTACTGAAGATGAACGAAGCAATAATTCATTTTTCTAGGTCCTGCTGAGAGATTAGTGCTTCGATCCTGCAGATGTTCTTCAGGTGATAGAAGGCCGACTTTTTTCTGTCTTTATGAGCCTCTGAAGGATTCAGGTCTGAGTCCATCACTGTAGAATTAGAGCCAGATGGCTATTTTCTAGCTGGATTAATGGAAGCTGGGCACTAACTTTGAAACGTTTAATTTTTTTCCTCTCTGCATTTACACAGTGCTTGAGCAGGTTCATAGTCACCTGGTGACATGCTAATTGACAGCTGAGTTTGGTCTGAAACTGTAGAATAAAAATGTAAATCAACAATCTATTTGTAAGGTATACAGAGTGAATATTACAGGGTAATACAGCAAGAATGGGAGAAATGAAGTGCAGCAGTTTTCATGAGCTGCTCGGCTCTGACCCGTTTGAGGGATTCAAAAGACAGTATGAGAGACACGGTTATAATTTGCTTCATTGCCTGTTTTTCCTTTCTTGGACATTTCCTGAAGTTTCGACCCAAAGCAGAAAACCATAAGAGCTGAAGCTGCCATAAGGACAAACTTAGATTTGCTTCATATTCATACTTTCTCTATTTCATTTGTTTCACTTGTAATGCATAAACTTTATTGATAGAACTAAAATGAAATATTGTGATATTCAACCGGCTGCAGGCGGTGCTGCAGCTCCAGCTGAGGAGCAAATTTCTAAATGATGCCTCAGACTGGAAGCTCCTGTTGATGCCAAATAATAAAGGTCGGTTAGGAGGACATGCAAGGCTTATAAACTCTTGGGTTTTTAAAAACATATCTCTTCTTGTGTGTTTTGTTTTTGAATAAGCTGCATCTATATTTTCCCAAGGACTATACATTCTCTCTCGGCGGGGTTGTGCATCTCTGGCCTGCGGCTAACATGATACATATCTTAACTACCAGGCAACACATGATAAATATTTATAGAGCAAAATTCAATGAAGCGCCTCTCAGACACAGCCAAGGCCCGTTTAAATGATTAATCTTGTGGAGGTGTTTTCGCCCCTCACACTTTATTCTTAATCTCACACCTACTGGTTTATATATATATATAAAAAAAAACAACATAAAAGCAAAAAAACAAAAACAAGGTGCCAATTTAAGTTTTTACTATGCTAAATCTAAAGAATTGGGCTTTGACTAGGCCAAGCTGAAACCGCTTTTAGTCTCTTTAACCTCTCATACATAAGTCCATCTGATTGAGTTTTTAATCCTTGTCTTGAGGTTTTTTCCAGGGTATAAAGTCACAAGCTGATGGATGGACTTTATTTTGCATGATTTTCTGCTAGAGCGCAGCATTTGTGGCTGTGACGTCCAAGCCTCTTTGGTTCTGCCCGTTAACATGAGCAGATTGTTTTTCTACACACAGTTTACAGTGGCTGTTAAAGAAAGATGAGGGTCAAAGCCATGGACAAGGAGGAAATAATTATAATTATAATTAATCATAATTATAATATAATGATGATAATACTTAATAACAGTTATAGTGAATATTGTAGCCTATCTAAAAGCACGACAAACAAAATAAAAATAAAAAAACAACACAAAAAACATAAACTGCGCTTTATGGGGGGAAAAAACCCTGTTCTGAAGAGATGCCCCGCCCAATTTCTAATCTATACCAAAAGCCTTGCGTGAAACTTATCCTAATCCTAACCTTTATAGGTTCGTATCTAACCCTAACTCCAACCTAAACTCGGTTCACACCTTAATCCTAAATTTGACCACAGCCCCAAAAACAGCAATTCCCCCCATGGGGTCCAGGTGTCAGGCCCCACAAGGAGCAGCTGGTCCTGCTATTTTACCAGGAAATGGGCCCCACAATGCATCAAACAAACACACAGAAAACCACCCCATGTCTCTTTGCTGGTTCTGTTGATTTTCTGTTTTTAATAAACAAGCCGCTATATTAAAGTTCAGTCACTGTTTTTACATTTAGTTTAACTGTATAAAGGTTGTCTGCTGCATCTGCAGCGGCATGAACATGTTTTTTCCTTTATCATTATTCTACATTAGTTCTTTCTGATGTTGTTTACATTCACACACACAATCTTTTACATTGTGAAATGGTTTAAACACATTCAAATTGTTTTAATTAGTTGTAAGCTAATCAGACCTTAATGCAAACTCTTGTTAGGTTTATGCTTTATGCATCATGGGCATTGTTACTTTGCTAGCCGGATTAGAGAGAGTAGATGGCCTTCCTTTACATTGTGGATGTCACTGTGTGTACGGAGGTCATCTAATCAGGACAACCTTCATGTCTTTAAAAATACACAGGATATGGGAACATCTTGGAGCCGTCTGTAATCCTTGGGCATGGATGGCGTGTCAGTTTTTGAAACGGACAACTAAGCATCCACCTGATGCAACACATAGACTCATGAGCTATAAGAAGCAGGAGATGGCCTTGTTCAGGGCTCAATCTTGGCCGGACGCTCGCGGACGTGATTTTTGAGCCCACAGCTGTGCAAGCTCCAAGCATTTTCTCTGTCCTGTAACAAACTGGTCTGGAATAAACTCTGTTACTTTTTTACTCCTGTTTTATAGTCCTTTTTTATATGGCTTTACCCAGTTTGAGTTAAGAGTAGTAAATAACTTGCTCCCAGGAAAAGAACCGTGAGGAAGCCCCGAGGCGCAACAGCTTTTTAGGGGACATAACTTCCTCATTTAGCACTCTTCAAGATAAATGTTTGTTTTCAAACAAAATTAATTCAAAAAAGTGATTTCATTGCATCATTTTATTTATTATCATTTAAAACCATTTATTTTATTTTCCATGTGTACATAATGTCTATTTACTTTAGTTGAGTTTCTCTATTTTGCTTAACACTTTTTAACTAAAATAAGTTTGACTTAGAGTTGAATGATTTTTGTTAATAAATTCTTACATTTTGAATGGAAGTTGTTGTGATCTTATCTGTGAGAGACCATTAGGCATCACTCTGTCACTCCAACCTGCACTTGATTAAATATGAAAACAGATTTTTTTTTTAGGATTGACCATAATAACAAACATTATGAACATCTGATTAGGCCCCAAAATAGTCAAAGATTTCATGTGAATTTAAATCTTCATTCACAACTCAGCTTCGCTGTTTACCTTTGAGTTAATGATAAACCTGTACGCACTGTTTATTAAATAATGGATTCGATTTTGTCAGTAAAATCTCCTGTAAATAGTTTATCATTATGTTCAAAACTAAAAACTATGTCTGTACATATCAGTGACATTTAATACATCTTCTCTTCTCTGATTTTTTTAAAGAACAAATTAAACGCTTCACCACAAAAACAAAACTTTTCTTTTAAAGTTTCATTTTGTTGGCCTGATTTCCTCTCCATAAGCTCCTGATCTGAGAACCCAGATTGAACTAGAAATGAAAACATGAGATGTTTTTGCCAGTATTTGGAGCAATTCATGCGCAGGCGGTTGAACTCACAGCATGCGCAGGCCCTCCATGCCTTTAAACATGCTCCCTCGCACGGACTCCAGGTGGTTGGCTGTGAGGTGAAGCTCCACCACAGAAGAGGCACCTTCAAACGCACCATCCTCAATCTCTGAAATCTTATTGTTGCTCAAGTTACTGAAAATAAAAAGCAGAGAAAGATAAAACAGACTTGTTCAGTTTGCGGGTCATTTTTCTTATTTTCCCTAATCTTTTTTTATAGCTAAATGTGATCCAACATGATAAATAACTGAAAACTTAACTTACTAACATGAGTCATGACTCTTTTCTTTTTATTATGGCACATTTGTTAAAGTAACTTACATTTTCTTGAGCTGTGATAGACCCTTGAAGGCCCCGGTGGCCTCCAGCATGGAGAGGTCATTGTTGTTAAGTCGCCTAGAGCAAATGATGCAGATAAAAATAGAAAAGCAAAAAAAAAAAAAAAGTCATTACTATAAATGTTTGGCACTGAATTTATACATTATGCAAATAATATTATATGCTTCTTAATGCATCTAAAATGTTTTATCACTATGGAGAATAAAACTAGACTGTTTTTTTTTTGTAGGGTTAAACATCTGTAAAAAAAAAAAAAAAAAAAAAAAAAAAGGATGCATATATGTCTGAAATTGTAAATTAAGTCAATAAACGTGAATGAATTTAGGATTAGCATTTGCATCTTGTTGTTAACACAAACATTAATGCAATATCAGATGTTTTATCTCTGAGATTACAAGTTTGGAAGTTTTGATAGAAGTTAAAAGATTCAATTTTGCAAAAATATAAATAATAATGACAGTATGAATCACAAACCTACGTATTCAATTCACAAATTTATGAGTATTAAACACAAATTTTATATACATTCAATTTAAAAATGTACCAGTAATACATGTTTATGAGTAAAAATCAACTACCCTAGATAAAGTCTTCACACTTTTCACCAGTTGGTGTCAGTAATGCACCTGTAGGCTGTTTGCTAACAGCCATTAAAGAAGAAAAGAAGGTTTTGGAAGCCTTTCTCTTTTCAAATACAAATCTTAAATTAATTCATGTTTATGCCTTACAATTTCAAATACAGATGCCTACATAAACGTTTTTTAGTAATATATTTTTTTAAGGTTTCAAAGATAAAGAGGTTTGCTGCAGTTTTTTATTCTATCCTCTCTAAAAATAACTGCTGGATCTGACAACTTTTCTGCTTTGGGCACACATTTCTTTATGGCACTGAGATCTTTGTGATACTGATTATAAACACGTGATTCACATGTTCTATTACACATGTGCTGCACATGCTGATGTCCCACAGTCTATTTTAGACATCAAATAAATCTGTAGTATATATTTTGTCCTGCTGATGCTCATTCATACAGTAGCATCCATTCAAAATGGCCCTTCCCAGTCAAATACCAGCAGAACGGCAGCCCACTTCCCTGCAATTCCCAGCAGAATCTCCTCCAACATGTTAGCATATTTTTTTACTGTGACTTCACCGTTTCTGTGAATTCCTGCATCTGACCAGGATATTGGAGTCCCTCTATAAATCCTAATGTCCATAAATCATAAGAGAAGGAATTTTTGAATGGCTACTACTGTATATGTAAAGTAAAAACAGATAGGGGGCGATGTCGAGCCCCCATAACCACGGTGGTTAACAGGTAAACGCTGCTGCTTGCTCTTTTCTATAAGTGTGGAAGCCCCAACCGATTCTTGTATTTGTTCACCTAAAATTGAAGATTATGTCTTAAATCTATAGGATTATTTT